GTGAAATATTGCATTTTAAAAAATTTGAATAGACCGATGGAAAGGGCATAAGATACTGTAAAACTTTTGTCTGAAATATTTTTTCATATACCTCATATTTTAGGAAATATTAAATAAAAATGAAAAAGTCCGTTTTTTTCAAGGGGTGGTTTCAACCCCTAAACCTCGAGATAAGCACATAAAAAAAAATACGTGTCTAATGTTTTTTGATGCTCTACAACATATCCAATGCTCATCAAATTCGGTGAGGGACGCCCCCGACCGTTTCCTTGTAAGACAATTTCAAAACTAAACGTACATAACAAATCCATATAACCTCCAGTTAACGTCTATTAATCATCTATTTAAGTTCCATGGAGAATCTAAGATTAATCTATATTATGTCTAATGCACATATATGAAAACGTTTAATAGACGTAGAATAGAGATTTAACATGCGGAACTATGGATGTCCACTAGACGTCTATTCGCAGTTTCATAGATCTCCAATGGAGGTTACGAATCTCCATGATGGATCTCTTTTGGACGTCCATTAGAAGTTTTTGTTCCGTGTGGGAAGTAACGATGAATTTCGTTACTCGTTACTAAAAAAATATGTAACGCCGTTACTTTTTCGTTACTGATACAAAAGTAGTAACGGCGTTACCAAATCGTTACCAAAAAAAAGTAACGAAATAGTAACGTCGTTACAAGTAACGCGTTACTTCCCAACCCTGATTATATTATATGTTATTATATTATAATATTGCCATTTTGTATCATTTCCTGCGCCTGTTTGTTTTTTAGCATCTTATAACATTTTATTAGGATCTTGAATAAGTTCTCGTTGATTTTTCGTGAAAATTAATACTTTATTTAAAAAAAGTTGTAAAAAGCATGTCACTGAAAGTATTGTCCATCGCTAGCCACTACTTTTTCCCATCTTTCTGACAGCATTTGAATTTCACGTCACAAAAACGACACGTCTTTTGAGGCTATTCAAGAGTCGACCCATTTTTTGGCATCTTCATAAGAATGGAAGTGCTACTCAGCCAGGCCATGTGCCATCGATCGGAACAAGTGATAATCGGAAGGGGCAATGTCTGGTGAATACGGCGGTTGGGGTAGGACTTCTCATTTAAGCGTTTCCAAGTAGGTTTTCACCGGTTGTGCAACATGTGGCCAAGAGTTGTTATATTGCAAAATCATTTTGTCGTGTCTCTGCTCGTATAGTGGTCGTTTTTCCTTCAATGCTCGGCTCAAACGCATCAATTGTAGTCAATAGCGATCTCCTGTGATGGTTTCGTTCGGTTTAAGCAGCTCATAATAAACTACATCCAGCTGATCCCACCAAATGCAGAACAGAAGCTACTAACCATGGATATTCGGCTTTGCCGACGATGTTGATGCATGGCCAGGCTTACCCCACGATCTTATACGCTTAGAGTTATCATAGTGTATCCACTTTTTATCGCTAGTCACGATACAATGCAAAAAACCTTTCCTTTTCTGCCATTGAAGCAGCTGTTCACCCGTGAAAAGACGCCGTTCGACGTCTTTCGGCTTTAACTCGTACGGCACCCAATGTCCTTGTTTTTGAATCATTCCTAATACTTTCAAACGTTTCGAAACTGTTGTGTGATCAACTCCTAATGATTCTGCAAGATCAGCTAGCGTCTGACATGAGTCTTCATGAAGTAATGCCTCCAATTCTTCCTCTTCAAACTTTTTCGGTGCGCTAAAGCGTTCTTTACCTTCAACATCAAAATCATTATTTTTGAAGAGTCTAAACCAGTCTCTGCATGTTGTTTCCGACAGAACATGGTCGTCATAAGTTTCAACAAGAATTCTGTGTGCTTCAGCTGCAGATTTTTTTTTTAATAAAGTAGTGCAGTAAAATTCCCCGCAAATACTCTTTTTTTGGCACGAAACTCGACATGTTTAACACTATGAAAAAAAAGTTGTTTACACTTCGGCGAAATGACACTGAATTTCAAGCTTGCTTATGGTACTTTCTTATAGATGTGTTACCATCTTAAACTATACGCACACAGTTTTGGTAACGTCATATGTTATAAAACAGCGAGAACTTATTCAAGGTCCTGATATACAGGGTGGACGATTTTAAATAAACCAGGCAAATATCTCGAGAAGTATTGCAGATACGGTAAAATATTTCAGATGAAATTTGTAGGGTTGCAAGGGGCACATATCATGGTGACCCTGAAAGATCCTTCAGAGATCATTTCCAAGGTCATTTGAAGGTCAAGTTGGGTTTTTTAAATAGGACCCCATATTTTGCAACATGACATTGCATTGTGCATAAAAAAAATGCAAAACTTTTGCTTGAAATAGTTTTCCATCCGACCTTTACTTTTCGAGATAAACGCTCAAGATCACCATCGTTGAGATGTGATGTAATGAACTACTTTTAGCCATACCCAGGAACAACGACGTGGACGTAGTAGTTTTCTGTTCCCTTCAGGGTGCTGGATTAACGTGAGTCCCCTTGCCTCTCACAATTTGGGGTGCTGGATTAACGTGAGTCCCCTTGCCTCTCACAATTTGGGGTGCTGGATTAACGTGAGTCCCCTTGCCTCTCACAACAGTTGTTCGAAATTATCCTCTCTGGCTTGGATGCACAGTCCCAATCTTCGATGAAAGTGTTCAACAGTTTTCATTAAAACCACTCGCGATATGTTCCGACAAGCAAATCGGATTCGGTCCATCATATCTTCCCTCGTTGTTGGTTGGGTCTTGAAGACTGCATCCTTCAGGTATCCCCACAAAAAGAAATCAGGTGATGTTAAATCCGGTGATCGTGGAGGCCACGCTACTGGCCCACCCCGTCCGATCCACTTATTATGGAACTGTTGGTTGAGGTATCTCCTGACAACCATTGCATAGTGTGGTGGCGCCCCATCGAGTTGGATCCACATTCTCTGCCTTGTTAGTAAATCAAGATTCTCCAGCAGCAATGGCAAGTGATCTGTTAAGAACTCTAAGAAAATGTCCCCGTTCACGTTACCATAAAAAAAATGCGGTCCGACTAGATAGCCATTGACGATCCCACACCACACATTCACACTCCAGCGATGCTGGTTGTCGATTGGTCGGTACCAATGCGGATTAACGTTTGACCAGTAATGGCAATTGTGTCTGTTCAGATGACCAGTGTTTTGGAAACATGACTCGTCAGAAAACATGACATAGTTGAAAAACTGAGGATCGTCTACCAATCTTTCTTGTGCCCATTGGCAGAACTGAATCCGAACTCTCATGTCGTTTGGAGTGAGGGCTTGTGTTAGAGTTACGTGGTACGATCGATACTTCAAATGCTTCAAAATTCTCAAAATAATCGTTCGCGGTAAACCTGTTTCTTTTTCCATTTCTCTGCTGCTGATGTGGGGATCCAAGTGGGTGAGTTCCAATATGGCGAGCACACGGACATCATTTTCATCATACTGATGACATATCCTACGGCGGTTCAACCTTCCTTGGCGAGCTCTCAATTCAAGCCGTCGAATGGTCACATGGTCCACAATGCGCCGGTTTGGATACCGATTTCGGTAAACTCTTGCGGCTTCACGATAATTAACATGACATTCACCAAGAATTAGCAACATGTCGACAATTTCTGAGGGAGGAAAATCACCCATTTTTTAAATTGAATTTGCAATGAAGAGATATCGAAGACACGAGAGGTACACAAGATTCTAATGAACGAGAATGAAAAAGTTAAATGAAAAAGTTGAATTTTTGTACTGGCAGACAAGGCAGAATGACATGAATGATGTGATTGCAACTCGACAGATTCAACTTTGCACCCAAGCTGGTTGGATAACTTCGAATAATGTGTTTCATTCTTACGATCTTCCACATTACATATGTAGATTCTCGTTCATTAGAGTCTTGTGTACCTCTCGTGTCTTCGATATCTCTTTAACATCTTTATCATAATCATAATAAAATATAAAACATTTGCTTTAGAATAAAAGGATATACTTCTCCCTCTATCTCTTTTTTCTGTAAAAATTTTCTTCCTATTTGTTAAATATATGTTTCTATTTAAAAAAGCAATGTTGACCTCGACCTGACCTCGAAATGTCACCCAAGGTCAAACTATTAAAATCAGTAAATACATTTTCCTAAGACTTATAGCTTTTATCTAAAGCAATTTTCTGTAAAACTTATATTT